CACTTCACACTGTCAGGTTTTGCAGCAACACACGAACAAAAATATTCATGCGTTTCTCCAGGTTTTTCATAGTTAGCCTATTTAATGTGATTGTATAACATCTAACTCACTTTTTTTTTGTACATGCTAATTTATTTAGTTCCTGAATATGTAATATCCTAATGCAGAGTGAAGAGTATGAGGATGATTCAGATGAAGCTCCACACCAGGATAGAATGTATGTCAGTTTTCTTTTGTTTTGGTCTTTTGCGCTTATGAGCTCATTACGCTTCTGAATTGAGTTGATGGAGCTCAATAATTTGTAAAAGGGCACGTTGTGAAGTAATTGGGAGATACTTGATGTCCTTTGATATGTGAAATTGCTGCAATTGATCTCTGTTGACCTACTCCTTTTACAGTAAAATCTCCGCATCTTGATGTTTTCAGGTTTCATATGATTACTGAAAGAATAGTAACAAAGTTGGCCCTAAACCCCCATTGAATGTGCAATGTTCAGTGTAGGCATTGCATGGCTTGTTGCATGTGAATGATGTGATGAACTCAAGGCACTCATTTCAAGTTCAAAGCCTTAGCCTTTTCTTCCCAGTGAAGTTCTCTGCTTGAATTGATTAGTAGAACAAGTTCTGTGCTCCCCCTCTTCTCCTCCCTCCTTGCTAGGTCCCATTTATTATGTTGATCTGGCCTTGCATTTTTGAGTTGGATTAAGGTTTATGTTTTATAGCTTTCATGTCCCTCTTATGAGCTACTACTGCTTGTTAACGATGTCTGTTAGCAACTAGTTGATTTAAGTTGTTTTTCAAATCAGTGGGATCGAACTCTAACTTCAGATGATTTCAAGACCAATTTCCGTTTTAATACTTTTGTGTCTGTACATTTATGTAATATCAACATATTGAATGTTAGGCATTACATCCAGTTTTTATTCTTCTGAAATATCTGTAAAGCATCAGGTTTCTAGTGTTTGTTAATTGTTTCTGCATTATAATTTGTAAGATTTCAAACACTTATTCTATGGTGAATTATGATATATGGCATGAAGGTATGCGTCCAGTCACAGTGAAGTTTATCTTTCCTTGAAGAACAGTGGTAAACTTGATGTTCTATTATCTCAGGTGGAATATCCTGCCCATGTCTTACCATTTTCTATCTCCAATCTACCATCTATATTTCAGTCAATTTTGCAATTAATTAACATGTCTTTCTGTCTTTCTTTTTTTTTATTTTTTACCAGGGTAAGGAGTATATTCTTGTACTGAACTCGGACAACCTAGCTCAGGTTATTGAGCCCAGTATCCTTTGGTGAAGTATTTTGTGACATTTTCAGGTTCTCAAATTTTTTTCATTTCTTATTTCTTTGGCATTCAAGTCCAGGATAACTCTGCATCATTTGCAGTGACCTGGTTTATCGAATAGGTAAGTGCCTTAATGTGTGTGGCAGAAATAATAAGTCATTTGGTGCAGAACAATATCGAAACTTGTATGGAGGTAGGGAGAAAACTGCTGCCATTTTTGTACTCTGTTACTCTTATTACAGTTTCTAACTTTTTTTTTTCCCTTTTTCCAGGTAATGCCTGCCTCCTCAGACCTGGAAGTAAAGGAGGTTCCATCTCATGAAGGAAAATATGAGGTTTGTTAATTTCTGTTTTTGGAACTATGCCTTCATCAAGTAAATCATTGCCCTTAAACTATATAGACGTTAAGGAACTTCTTGTTATTAGCCACATTGGTGATGAATCAGGATGACAATGATAACACCATTTACATGTGTCTGATTTTGGAGTCGTCATCTCCACATAATTCTTGATCGATTTAGTTTTCCCTTTGCAGCTTTAGTGAGTCATAGCTTGATAAATTTGGTGTTTTCTATAGTGTCCTGTGTATGGTCAAAGACCATCGATGAATGTGAATAGAAAAAGATTTTAAAAAAATGAAAGGAAGAATGTTGACCTTCTGAATTATAGAATTCCAAATTGTTGTATCTGAAGGGAGTTTATACTATTTACCGCAATATCTGCTGGGATGTTAGATTATAAGAATAAATTACTTGTGCAAAAAATGTTCCATTGATGGTAAAGCTGACAGCAGGTCGATGATGCCAATTAGAAATTTTCTTGTCTCTTCCTTTCTTACTCTTTTTATGTCTGGTTATCTTGCTCTCTAAAGCTATCCATTTTGTACTTTGTGAAAACTTGAGGACTTTGGATAGATAATCTTGGATCAGTAGGGTGCTTGTCTAGACTTATAGTTATGATAGGCAATACATGGATGCTTCTTTCATTTTCTAGTAGAGATGGATTTTATGGGAGATGTAGGTGGTGTTTGTCTGAGAGAGACATATCTTAAGAAATTTGAACACAAAATAGCATTGTTCTTTTAGGAGCTACCTAGCAGCATACTAGGAGTATCCAACTGGAATCTCAAATGTGTACATGCTTCAACTAAATTCAGACCTTGTATAGCTGGGCTGGACTGCTGGAGTCATAACCTTCCAACGACAGACTACCCTTGATGTGCTCTTTTCTCTCATTTGACATCTCACTTGGATTCCACTAATTTCTTAATTAGATCTTGGACAAAGCTAATGTGTTTTTGGATTTTTTTTGCTGGCAATTTGAAGTCGAAGGAGAATCTGAAGTTTACTGATACCGTGTAAGTAATCAGCAAATTATACTATACTCGTTAAAATCAGATTGGTGAAGAACTTCGGCCACTGATTAGTCCTGTTCTTGAACAGTTGGGTGAGTATGAACTCCATTGAAAGTCTTATGCATAGTTCTCTCGTTGAGAGCTCTGCTATTTCTGAGGTACCAATGCTTTATCTTTACTGGTAGTTTCTATGAATTCAATGATTATTCTCATATCTGTCATGTTGCTATACCAATTCAGAGTTGTTTGCTACTGTTATATACAAAATCTTTGCTTGTGGGCTTTGGCCATCCGTTGTACGCCTGGGGCTAAATAAAAAGTGTTAATAGTATTTTGAATATCTTCATGATTAAATGTTTTTGCATATTCTTATTGCCATCTGTACTTTTTCCAGTTTTTTGACCAGGCATCTGCAATAAGTGTTCCAAAATCAAGATATCTTCCAGTTGAAGCAACATCCGATTTACTTCTGTACCAGGTTGTAATAGGGCTTCTTGCTTGTGGTTTTATAATTTGACATTTTAGTTTTGAGGAGTTCTTACTAACAAGATTTTGTTCATTGGCAGTCGGATCTTTATAGTTTTGATGAAGGCATTCCTACACGGAGCTCAGCCAGAACAAATCCTGCTGATCCTCTGATTGAATTAGGACCCGAGTTTGCAGATGTAATGACTTTAAATTTCTAGTTGTTTAGAATGCCGCATCCAATTTATCTAAAGATAACCTGATTCTGTTTTCCAGGTTACTGAATTCCATGGTCGTTTTAAGTCAATGCCTAGCATCATTGAGCTTGATGCATTGGAGGTAACTGGTGATGTATGGTTTGGAAGTGATGTAACTCTGAAGGTATGCAATTGCTCTCCCTGCCTCTGAATATCCAGCTTCCACTTCTGGGATCTGCGGAAATTATACTTGCCTTCTATAAATGTCAGGCTCTGTTTTTTCCTAGTGGATCCATACATTCATTATGTTCATAATTTTTTTTCAAAATTACATGTTTCAAGTCTTTTTTGATGTTAATCAAGCAGAACATCCAATCTGAAATTGAAGTAATCTTACTTTTCGTGCTTTACAATCAATTCTCAGAAAATTTTAATGAATTTAATTGGTTAATATCCTTAAAGGTGATGCAATGTTCAGCAATCAATCTTTTAATGCAATGCAATCTTTTTTGGGAATCTAAACATATACTCTCTATCTTGTGACTACATTTAACCAATCTTATTGCATGGTAATGTGGATGGTTCTTTCTTGTGTCAACTCTTTCATAACTCATAGTTGAAGAACGTATACTTATTATATATACTATTTTTCTCTTATCAAGGTAGTAGCTATTAACCAACATTTATATAATGTTGTAATATTTACGCGAGTTTGCATCCGGAAGTAAATATTCAATAAACTTCTGAATGTATAGAAATGAGGGCAATTGATGGTGTTTATTTTTCAATGAGTAGAGTTTCATTGACTTATAATTTGCATTATTATCAAAGCTTCTTGTAAATGTTTCGTTTACTAAATTCTGGTTTAGTAGCATTAAATGCATGTTTACTCTCCCCAACCCCTCAAAAAATAAGAGGAAGAGTTATTTTTCCGAGGAATATTAGGTACAAGAGTTAGCATTATAACTCAAACATAGTTAGATTGTAGACTTTTCTTCTTAAATGAATAATAAACTGTTGCAGGCACATGATTTTCTGCGTCTATTATTAAGCAGTTACAGAACACCGCCTTGGGCAGAGAAAATATGTTTTTATCTGCATCCGTGTATCAACGTAAACATTATTGTTCCTAAAGAACATGGCATTTTCTCCTCTGAAAGAATTTTTCCATTTTATCAGTTTATCTGTTGAGTGTATTTGATTTCATATGGTTTCTTAGAAATTTCCCTTGTCCGGTGGATGCACTCTTGCAGGGGAAAGTTAGCATCCACGCAAGACCAGATGTAAAGATGGTAATTCCTGATGGAGCAGTACTTGAAAACAGGGTAAGGGGTGGCAGCTCAAATTTGCATATCGTTTTATAGATTTGGACTTTAAGGCTGAATGAGCTCTTTTTCCATGTTGCAGATGATTACAAGGCCGAGAGACATTGAAGGACCTTTATAGTCTCTATTGCTGCATGAGCTTATAGATCGAATCAGAGCAGGAAACTGTTGTATTTAAGCTGTTTTCAGTGCTTTGCAGAGTGATCGGATGTCTTGATATAACTATATATAGTTATATCAAAGAAAGTAGGATAGATCCCCCCCCCCACCCCAACAAAACAAAACAAAAAAAAAATTCAAGGGAATGGGTTCAATTTTGTATTTGTCCATTTCATTGAGATTTGCTTAATTGTACCGAAGCAGAGGAAGCAGAAATTACGAAAAGCTAATTATTGCTTTCGGAAATAATGATACCCTTACGGTTTACACTTTTGGTCTGTGGATTTTCAGGTTACAGGTCTTATGATGAAACATTTAAGAGTTAATCCTTGCTTCCAATACCCACTTGCAGTCTTGAGATTTCCAACAATATCTCCACTACTTTCATTCTTCTCAATCTGGAAGTTGCCGATACGGATCTCAATCCACTCCCCTCGAGGCTCTTCCAAAAGTGGAACTCTACGTTGTTGTACTTTTCCGCCGGGGAGGGTGAGTTTTAGCCTCAAGGGTGTCTCCCACCCGTGTGCCCACTGGGATAACTTGATCACAAAAACAGCTTCATAATCAACCGTGGGAGATAGCTCTGAAGTGTTCAGTCTTCCTTCTATTTCGAACCAGCATACCTGTTTGAGTTTTGCTATCTCGAAATAGTCCCCACTACAAGGGCAATTTGATGAAACTGGTTAAATGCATTTCTTGATTTTTTTGCCCTTTTTGGTAAGAATGAAAACTTGGGAAGGAAGAAGAGAGGATAGCATGTAAGGACTTACTTCACAAGAGACTATCTAAATAGATGGACGAACTGACCGACAGTGAATCATACTAGTATTACCTTGTTTCTTGAAAGTATTCCCAGCTCCAGTACTTTTCACTTTCACCCCAGAAGATTACCATAGACCTGGGATAGATCATGTAGCAAGCTCTTTTTTTCTTGTCAAACCATTTCTTCTGCATCCATCATGGTCCAAAATGATCAGAGTGACGAAGATTACGACAAAATAATTTTGATGGGTTGAACAATAATAATAATAATAATACAATACCTTCCTTCTTGGATCAAGAATGACATCACTGCTATGGCCAAACGGCTCCATGGATCAAAATTGAAGAAGGGCTATAATTAGGACAAGGCTAACCTTAAGGTCCCAATATTGCTGTGGTGAAGAGAAATGAGAGGACAGAGTTGAGAGAGTGGGTTAATGCTCCCACTATAGGCTATAACTTGTTTTCCACCTAGGATGGTAGTAGTACAATTTTGGAGTAGATGGTAAAAACAAGTGGAGAGGAGAAAAAGGAAAAAGAATAAAGGCAAAATATGACCTGTGGTCCTTTTTATATTTAGTTGTACAGCAATAATTTTAGTCCAGCCTTTTCATGTTTCATAAGTATGGGCCATAAGGTTTTGGTGCGGTCTAAAGCTCTGGGTTCTCTGCTAAAGTATTTCATTACGGGAAGAGTTGGTCCTGTTTGTTCCCGAAAATGATGCAAATTTGAGGATAAGCTGGCTGAATTATACTACTGCAAAAAGAAGAAAAAAAATAGAGATATTACTGAAACAAAGTTGACTGCTTCGTTAAAAAAAAAAATTTTTTTGATAGTAAATAATAACAATATTGCATTCATTTGTGATTCAAATCAGCCATAAAAACCCGCAAGTAAAAGTAAACACAACATGGCAAAACCCGAGTACAAGTAATTCCTACCTTGCTTGTTGAGTGCTGAACAAGTAATTCCACTCAAGTCTCAAACTGATGTTGGTTGCCGTGGAGGACAACAATACGCCACATAGGAATATGATCCAAAGACATCAATCATGGATCTTTTCTCTTCTTTTGTTGTACTCCCTCCCTCTTAATTGCTTTGATTGTTTGTATTAATCGAATCTCCCTCGAGAAAGTATTGAGACCAATCTTCCCGAGCACATACTAGTCTTAATGCTTCAATGGCAGCCTTTACATTTCAACTGTTATTTGTCTCTCTTTCAAATTAAATCTACTTTTTTATTTCTTCTCACCCTGTCCCACACACTTGTCAACCTGAACTATCAACCCTAAGATTTGAACTTTAAACTTGACAGTAAGAAGAGTGCGCTCTTTTTTCTTGTTGTGTTACAAATTCTTCTTCGTTCTCTCTCCATTCCTTAATCTCCCTATCCACCCACCCGCCCGCCCCACATCCCAAGTTGCCTTGGAGGACAACAATACGCTAGATGGGAATAGGATCCAAAGACATCAATCATGGGTCTTCTCTTTTGTTGTACTCCCTCCCTTTTAATTGGTGTGATTCCCTCGAGAAAGCGTTGAGACCAATCTTCCCGAGCACACATTAGTTTTAACAATTCAATAGCAGCCTTTACGCTTCAATTGTCATTTGTCTCTCTTCCAAATTAAACCTACTTTTTTATTTTCTCCCACCCTCCCCCACACACTTCTCACCCTGAATTGTCAACTCTAAGATTTGAATCTTAAATCTAACAGTAAGGAGAGTGCTCTCATTTCCCCTATTGTACTACAAATTCTTCTCCATTCTCGCCCCATCCCTTATTCTCCTTACCCACCTGCCCGCCCTACGTCCCAAGTTGCCTTGAAAGACAACAATACACTAGATAGGAATGGGATCCAAAGACATCAATCATGGGTCTCCTCTTCTGTTGTACTCCCTCCCTTTTAATTGCTTTGATTCCCTCGAGAAAGCGTTGAGACCAATCTTCCCGAGCACACACTTGTTTTGACAGGCGTCAAGCATGTGCAATAATAATAATGATAATTCTAGTTGTCAACAAAAGCAGTTTCGAGTCAATTCTAGTACTGGAATAGGAATTCTGGATATGCAATGGGTTATTAAATTTACCCTGGCTCCGAAGAGTTTGCTAAATCCGATATACCAGAATTTATTCACGAGAACTTGTTAATTTGTATAATGGAGCAAGTAGGGTCGTATCCTCAGGAATTGGGAAAAATTTGCTCCTTTTCAAATCGAAGGGTAACGGGGGTTTCGAGAATTAAATGCTAACGAATTATTAACCAAATTAATCAACTGTGAAAAATACTTAAGAGACACAAGTAATGGGAAAAACTCTAGCCAAGAATACACTTCAGAGATGGTTCATGTAACTGATCATTGATTCAAATATAATTCTAACATTCATTAATAAATAGGTTTTTAACGACCGATACGATCTGACAATTAGTTCCTCCATACTGTTTCGATTGTCAAGGTACGACCATTGACTATTTTCCTAGTTTAGAAATAACCCTAGATACGACCATAGGATTTAATTTCCTAATTGCATTAAAAATGAGAGAAACCCTGTTTTAATTAACAAATACGCTACGAGAGCTTATTTAAATTAAACTATATGTTTCCCTGACGCAAACCCAATTATGTCAGTTTCTACCGGGATGAGAGTAATCAAACAATTATGGATTCAACTATCATAGCAAATAGACTACGTGAATAATTAAATATTGCGCAACTATTCAATCATACACAATAGTTATAGCCACTAAAAGTCGAAAACATACAAATACCAATGAATGAAGGAAGCAATTGAAATAATTTAGATCTCACAGTTATCGTTGAACCAAATCTTCAGTTGTCCCTTTGACTAGAAAAAGGGAATTTAGCTCCCCATCATGGAGAAGAAGAGAATGTTTCTCCTTGTCTCTTGCGGCTGAAAAGACAGAAAATGATATGACTACTAGTTTGCCGCCCTGTCCTCTTATTGTTTCCTGCCCGAAGTACTAGTCAAACGGGAGCCGGACTTTTCTTCTCCTAATCCTTCTTTGTTTCCTACTTGATATCTACTACTTAATAATAAAACATTTTCCTAAATAGAAATAAAGGAAACTACAAGAGATAATGTCTCATGTTTCCTAATCCAATTCTACTACTAATAAAGATAATTAAAGTCTTCCGAAATCTTCAACCATCAGCTGTCCATGATTGACTCGAACTAGGAAATTTTGGCGCAGTAAATTCCCGAGTCTTCTGGATTTGAATGTAGGCCCCGAATGTGCCACCACCAAATTAGCTGGAAATTACCCCTTTTAATCATGTTTGGTTGTTTTCCTACAATTAGCACCATTAACCAAATATAAGTAGAATTCATCAATTAATACAATTTTTGGCTAAAATAATAGGGAAAATAAACATAAATTGAATGACAATTTCACATCTTATCAAGTTTTGACGCTTCAATGGCAGCCTTTACGCTTCAATTGTCATTTGTCTCTCTTCCAAATTAAACCTACTTTTTTATTTCCTCCCAACCCCCCCTCTCCACAGACTTCTCACCTTGAACTGTCAATTCTAAGATTTGAATCTTAAACCTAACAGTAAGAAGAGTGCTCTCCTTTCCCCTGTTGTGCTACAAATTCTTCTCCATTCTCGCAGCATCCCTTATTCTCCTGATAGGGTATAATTTGTTAGTGATTTTATTATTAATTTTTCCTTCTATCCCTGACAAATAGTGTGTTAATTGCTGATATTTACTCATATTTGGTATTTGGAATCAATTTCAGGATTGAAGCAGGAAATTACCAAAAGGAGGGAACGTACAAAGTCTTAAAAGCTAAGAAGGAATTCGGCAGACTTGTGCCAATTGGGGGGCCCACAAAGAAGAAAAGGCTTTTCTTCAATTGGGCTTTTGAACATACGAGGAGAAGTTTGTTCCTTGTGAATCTTTGGCTTGCTTCACAATTGCGGTGGGACCAGAGACCATATAGCCTTAGTCAACTTCCTTTTTGCTGATATAAGTAGAGACGTACAGGAGGAAAAGGGGGGATCCCTTCCGGCAGCTTTAGTTTTTAGTTTAGCTTCAGTTTTCATTTTTATTTGTCTTCCTTTTGACTGGCCTCTGACACACGCCAGGTGTTCGACAATATTCGCCTACGGGAAAAACATCTTTTATTCCTTGCTTTCTAGTAAAAACCGCCATGCTTTTGCAATCCATTATTTCGTGTGGTGATTTAATTATGCGGCGTGGCTAAACCTTCTATCTAGTCAAGGGGACAACTGACGAATTGGTTCACCATTACTGTGAGATCTAAACTGTTTTTAATTATTTTCTTCATTTATTGATATTTATATGCTTCCTGTTTTAATTGTTATAGCTCCTATGTATGATCGATTAGTGCGCAATAATTAATTATTCATATAGGCTATTTTGCTAAATAGAGGTAATTGAATCCGTAATTGTTCGTTATCTCTATTTTCGTAGCAACTGGCGTAATTGGGTTTATGTCAGGGGAGCATACGATCTAGTTTATACAAACCCTCGTAGCGTGTTTGTTAATTAGGATTGGGCCTTTCTAATTATTAATGCAATCTTGAAATTAAATCCTACGGTCGTACCTAGGGTTGTTTTTGGGTTAGAAAAATAGCTAACGGTCGTACCTTAGCTATCGATAAATTAAGGAAGGGTTGGTTGTTTAACGCGTGCGATACAACTAGAACCAATCTATTAATAAATGTTGGAATTATCTGTGATTCGATGATCAGTGCATGAACCATTTCTGAAGTGTACCCTTGGCTAGAGTTTCTCTTAATTATTTCTTTAAATTAATTATTTTCTGCAGTTACTTTATTTTTAGCATTTAATCGTGAAAACCCCCATTTGCCTCGATTCAAAAAGGAACAAATTTCTCTCCAGTCCCTGAGGAGACGACCCTGCTTACCACTATCTACTAGTTAGTGAATTCAGTTAAATAATTAATTCAGGTATATCGGATTAAGCAAACTCTTCGGGAACAGGTTGAATCAAGTAACCCATTGCACACCTAGAGTCCCTGCTCCAGTACTCGAATTGATTATTGACTGCTTTAGGTGGTAGTTAGGTTTTATTTATTATTATTGCACAGGTTCGGCACCTGTCAATTTTTGGCGCCGTTGCCAGGGACTGGCGTTTGAATTATTTGCTTCTTTTTTAATTCAGTTTTTATTTTGTTTTATTTTATTTTTTTTCTTTTTCTTGGTATTTTTGCTAGTTTATGCCCCGTTCTTCTCGCACAGGTGACTTGGTATATGATCCTGAGATTGAGAAGGCAGCGCGTAGGCGAAGGTAAGAGACCAAGAGACGAAAAGAAGGACACTTATTTTCTGCAAACGAGTCAGTAGAAAACGAATTTAGCATGGCCAACACCCAGACATTAAGGGAGATGGCTACCCCAGACCTGACTGATCAGCCCTTGTGCATGATGTTCCCAACTCTGGCTGAAAATACCTCTTTCGAGCTGAAATCGGGGCTGATTCAGCTCCTGCCTTC